TGCTGAAGTCCAAACCAAACCCTGTGCTATATAGTAGGTGATCAATAAACATGATTAAATTAATGAAATGGCCATGTGTCTGCCCCTCTTGCATACCAGTCTGCCTCTCCCTCGGAGGTAGAGTCTGTGTTTTGAGAGTGCCTGCCCTAAGTGATGGAGGTCAGAGCATACAGAGGAGGGGGTGCGAACCTCGGACACGGGCTCCTTGGGGGTGCTTCCCCAAGGAGCACAGAGCTAAGACACAAGTGGTGTGAGGGAGGTCAGAAACCACCTTCTTTCTCTCTGACTGCAAGTCCTCATTAGCAAGACACATTCCAAATTAATCTTCCTAAAGTGACGGCCCAGAATCTCCGTTGCTCCCTGCTATCTGCAGAATAGAGTCCAAACTCCCCAGCCCAGTCTGTAAGCCCCTTCTCAGTCCGGTCCCACCCTCCCTTTCCCCAGTCTTCACTCCTGGGACCCCCATTTTGGAATTCAAGTTACAGTGACCTTATCCCCAGATTTTCTGAGATGATTCCATTTCCTGAAATAATTGTTTGATACAGCCAAGAAGTGAAAGGTATGATTAAAAGTGGTTTAATTTTATTCTGCAACACTTTTCCAATAAATTCACTACTTAGGGGAAAAAATCCTTTGTCATTCTGTGTGTTCTAATTTTTGCTTCAAATGACTAGGCATCTGTTAAATCCAAGAACTGCAAAACACTCTGAGCTTTCCAGCCTCCACGCCTTTGCCCATGCTGTTCCTCTGCCTGGGAGTCTCTTTCAACCCAATCACACATCTCTAAATTCTACCCATCTCACCTGCTTCATTTCAATTACCAGCTCCTCCCAAAGGCCCCCGGCACCTCCCTCCTTGCCCCCAGCACCTAGCCCAGGGCCCAGCATACAACAGGCATTTAACAAAGAAGGAAGTAATGAAAGCTCCTTTTCTACTAAATCCTACAGTGAACTTTCCATGGATTTGTCCCTTCACCTAGATGTAACATCCTCTAGGGTAGAGCCTGCATCTGTTCCACCCCAATATCAATTTCCCTGCTCACCTATGGTGTACAGCACAGCACCTAGCACATAGTAGGTGCATAATTGCTGCATGACTATTTATGGAAGAGAAATAAAGCAGCTGTTGCCCTCCTTGCTTGGTTCTGCCCTTCCTTTTCTTCATCTTCTTCTATGTCATCTTTTTTTTTTTTTTTTTTTTAATCCAGGAAAAAAGGAATTCCTTTGTGAGGATAAAACAGGTCAGATTCCTTCCCTCCTCCTGCCCTGTGGTCTGGCCAGGCACTCTCCTACCCAGGCCTCTCGGAGCTTTGCTGGGCATTCTGGAGGTGTCAGAGACAATGTCAAGCTGCCTGTGTCCTGGACCCACCCCATCCTCATCTCTGCTCCAGGTCCTGCCACCTTGGGAATCAGCTGGAACACCGAGGCTCCATGTTGATGGCTCCTCCCTCCAAAAGAAGGGGCAGGAAATAGGGGTGCCTTTCAATAATATAATAAACATGAATGTATTAAAGTTAAATGTTACTTTATTTTTTTAAATATGACAGTGGCTCAGAAATCAGAGAGAGAACAGCAGAGGTGCTTGCCTGACAGTAGCCCAGAAGGCTGCAACCCACACTTTCTTTAGTCATTGGTCCAAAGTTGACCCCATCCCTGACTCGCCCTCCCTCTAGCCTCCGCATCATAAGCATGTGTCCTGGTGGGAAGGTGTGCTCAACCTGGCATCCATGATGGCATGGACCAGCTTGGGGGATCCTGAAATCCTCCGAAATCATCAGTACATGTTTATATGTGCACTTTTCTGGAGGTTGGGGGTGGGGAAGTGTTCACAGTGTTCTTGGGTTTCTCTGAGGCATCTGTGACTTCAAAGAAGCATAGGAACTAGTGTAGGGTTGCCAGATTTAGCAAATAAAAATACTGCACGGGACATATTTATATTTTAAAAGTATTCATTCTTTAGCTGAAACTTACATTTAACTGAGTGTTCCAGACTTCATCTGGCAACCCTAAACCAGTGAGTTAGAACTGAGAAAATGTAACATATCTCATCTGCTACAGCCATTTATTCATTTCTTCCTTCATGCGTTCCTTCATTCAACCACTATCACACACGGAAGGAGCCATTTTAGGAAGATAACCCAATGCCAGGCACAGCAAGGAAAACAAATGCCGCCCTGGCCGCCATATTGAAAACACAGAGACCTGGATCCCAGCACCCAGCGTCTGCCCTGCACCCCCCAGCGGCACCCTGCCTTCAGGGGTGCGGGTCTGGAAGCAGTGCTCCAGCACAGGGTCCCAGTGGCATGCAGCTAGTGTCAGGGGGTCATGGGTGACTGCTGAAGGAGCTCTCCCCCACCCACGCACCTTGATGAAGAGCCCCAGGTCCTGGTCGCTCACACATGGATGGGCCCTCAGGAACTTCTCTCGGACCTCCCCCAGCTCCCTTTGGGCCTGCTGCTCATGGGGCTGTTCCAGGGCCTGGAACACCAGGGCACCGGACACCAAGTAGAGCAGGACCACAGCCAACAGTGCCAGTAGTGTGGTGCTGCGCATGGCGCGCCCAGAGGCCCGGCCAATTCCACGGCCCGTCTGGGGAGGCCGGGCAGGGGGCTCCTGGGGAGCTGCAGTCACTGTGGGCAGAACCAGGGATGCTGGGATCAATAACCTGACCTGACACCCCTACACCCTCCTTCTCCAACCCCTACACACCCGGTGGTCTTGGAGCCCCCAGCCCTACCACCCACAGACGTCTTCTCCTCACATCCCTCTGGCCGGACACTTGGTACCAGGACACACCCAGTGCCCCCACCTCTGTCCTCCCCCTTACCTCCACTGCCCGGCCCTCAGCCCCTGTCCGGGGACTCCAGGGTGTGAGAAGGCAAGAGGGCACCGGGAAAGGAAAGGAAGGAGAGTGGAAGGGGGAAAGAGAGACCGAGCCTGCCGAGGAAGAGGCCGGACGAGCGAGGAAATGTTGCGGGCGTGGAAGGGGCCTGGGAAACCCGCCTTCCAGCTGGAGGCTGAGGGGGCACAGAGAACTGTGCAGGGCGGGGACGGGGGTGGCGGGTCCCGGCTCGTCCGCCGAGGCTGCGGCAGCATCTTCGCGGTTTCTCCCTACCCCCCCCCCCCCCCCCCCCCTGCCTCTGAATCTCTGGCAAAAACAAGTGATGGTGACTCTGACTCCCTTGTTCTACCAAGCTTTATGCCTCAGCTTGTTCTCGTTTGGGTGGCCTGCAATTTTTTCCATGCTGCAATCCTCCACTTTCCATACCGGGCGGGGAGCCTCCAGGGTCCTCCAGCGCCCCGCTGGGCTTTCGAGGAACCCTGGGGCGGGTCCGGATCGCTGCGCAGAGGCGAGGCAGGGCGGAGGGGAAGGGAGGGTACTGGGTTCCGGGAAGCAGCGAGGTGGGGGCGACCAGGGCCGGAGCAGGGCAGCATCCCCTGGACAGCTGTCAGCCCCCGGGACAGCGGGCGGCGGCGCCCTCGCGCACACACGCGGGCACAAAGACCCGCGCGCCCACGCTCCACCCTGCGGCTCCAGGCGGCGCCTCTGCCCGGGCTGCACGCACACACACACACACACTCCACCTGCACACTCCCCGGCCTCTCGGGCACACCGGACGCTCAGGGCCGTGCGCGCCGGGACAAGGCCCCCAGAAGCCCACACACTTGTGTGCACACACTCACATACACACATACCCAGACCGCGGGGCCACCGCGCAGCGCCCACTGCCCAGACACCGCACCCCCGCCACTCGCTCCCACGGCCTCCCCGCGTCTTTACGCCGACGCCTCGGAGCGTGACAGGCGGCGGCTGGATGCGCGGCCGCAGAACTCCCAGAGGCGCCCACGAACGGGGAGGTGGGCGCCCCTGCCGGCCGGTCGCCCCCTGCGCGCCCCAGCCCCGGAGCCCGGCCGGCGCCCTTCGCCGCCCCGCACTCCCTCTCCGCGTCAGCGCGGCCGCCCTCTCCGCCCCGCACTCACTGTCTGCCCCGCTGCGGCTGCGGCTGCGGCTGCGGCCCGGGCTCCGGCGCGGCCTCGCCGGTGCCTGCCGGCTGGGCCG